TAATTTATATTACTTTATTAATCTTAAATTTTAGTTCTAAATTTTAATTTTATTTATTTATTTACTTATTTTTTTGGAATAGGAGGGTGTTTGATTGTTTAGTGGAGAAATTTGAAATTTTGTTGGAAATATTCAAGAATCGTTGTTAAGTTTTGAAGAAAAAATAAATAAAATGTGTACCTAATTTTTTAATTAAAAAATTAATTTTAAAATTTTTTTATACAATAAAATTTTACTTTTTTAAACAATTGCTTTGAATATCTGCCACACGCACACACACTCCAGTCGGTGAGGGAGACTGATCGGCACCGTTCCGGATGCGGTGTTTGCAGCACCTATTAGGAAAATGATTGAGATTTTTTTAAAATTGTTATATAACTTTATATATTTTCTAATTAATTGAGATCCGTATATTATATGTATTTATTTATATAATAATATTTAAAATTTACAAAAAAAATTGTTTTTATATTATTATCCCAACTATTAAAATAAAATTTTTCATTTTTCTTTCTGAAATTCCTCAAAGTTAATCCACTTATAAATAAAATATTTTTTTAACCTATATTTTTAAGGTATAAGTTGAAAAAATTTATTAATAAATATCCTTTTGTAGTATAATGGATGATTGTTTAATAGATGTCTTTGAAAAAGACAATGAATCTGATGCCCCGTGTCAATAAATGGATTGTCTCCTTTGTGCCAATAAAACTCTTGTTCGGCACGTTCATGATGTTTATTGCAACTTTACATTAATTGCAAACCAATAAAGAACAACGTGTGGAGATAAGGATGGATTTGTGGAGTCCATTGTGTTGATTTACTTGCTCAAAAGAATCATGACTGGAATTGTTTAAAATGACATTCTATGTGCATACACAACGAATATGTTAGCAATTTCAAAGTCTAATTTGATCTAAACTGACACTACGGTGTGTAAGTTAAACTTTGACCCTATTTACAAGTTGATGTTATAATTGTGGGAATGACTCTACTTTTCTACAGAAGGACCATTACGAACTTCTACATCGGAACTCAAGTTGCAGTCACTTTGCAAAGCTGATAACCATGAGTCCACCTGAGAAAAAAGCAGGTTAAAAAAAACAAAAGGGGCTAAATTAGTACAGAATAACACAATACATCCACTTCTAACAATTGCGTGCCAAGTATAGCGTGGGATACCTGTACTTTAGAAATGTGTGAGCATTCATATCGCAATCCTTGGCGTGTCATGATGTAAAAGCAATATCTTGTTCCTTCATCTTCTCTTGTAAAGCTAGGCAGTGAACCTACCTCAACAATATCAGACAGAAGCGCGGAGTCTTGAGGGCTAAAATCTGAAAATTTTTGATGTTTTAAGTTCATGAGCAAATAATACTTATGGTTCTGTATAAGCACTCATTATACTGAAACATTGTACATTTGATACACAGCTTCTGTAACTTTGCATATACTCTTATCCAAAAAGAGATCCTGGATTATGAGGGAAATGTATCTTATGGCAAATTAATTAAAAGTAGTCAGTTACCTGTTGATATGAGAAAGAAGAAGACACATATGCCATGAAGGACAACAAATCGAGGAATCCAATCATCAACCTCAGTATCATCGATAGGGGGAGGTTCTCCTGGTAGAGCTGCCCACCTCTGTAAATAAAAGATGTATGAGGACATTGTAAACAAAAGAGGTAAACAGCACATGAATCATGCTGGGTAAATTATAAAAGAAGCTGTAAGAAAGGATTTAGTTATTACAGTTCGGATATACAAGTAGCCAGAAAGACGAGCAGACCGTAAGATTTCATCAATATGTTCCAACCTGCTTGTAAAAGAAGAAGATTAATACATGGAACAAAGAAAATTCCAATTTAAAGAGTCAAGAAATTATACTAATGCAGCTCGGGAGCTCAAGGATTTAAGCTTAGAAAAAAAACACAAGTAAACATTGTTCATAGAACAGATAGTGGATAGAAATAACGTGAGTTCTAGTTCTGAAAATGCAAATCCAGATATCAAGCTATCAAGCATAATCTCTTCATGTAACATCTGGTTTTGAACATACTGACTGGCCAAGAGACTGATATATCATTTTTAAGACTTTTAAATGCATTGGCTTATAAAGACATGACAAACCTGATTACCAGCCATGTTATTTTACCATACAAATAGGCACATCATCATGCTCAAAATATAAGAGTTATTTGTGTCTTACTGAGCTTTCAGGTGAGCTGCTCTCTCTTCTAAATCAGCTAGTTCTGACCGAAGTGATTCCAACTCAGTAGCTGTCAACTGCACCTGCAGATTAGTAACAAAGGGGATATCAGACATAAGTTTAATCAGTTACCAACAACATCAACTTGTAAATGTCAAAAAAGTTGCAAAATGAACCTTCTCTTGGCGATCACTGCCAGAAATCCAAGGCAGCCTAGGTAAACTAAACAAATTCATAATGAATCCCGCACCTCCCAATTTTCTTTGAGTCCAAAATCGGCTATAGGACCTACCCTAAACCAGAACAATAATACTAAGTGAGCTGAACAATGTGACCTATCCTTTCTTTTTTCCTCATCTGGGAAATAAATGAGTAATACCTCAAAGAATTATCAGTTCCTTGCTGTGAAGTAGATGGATTATTGCTTTGAGTAGTTGAAACTTGAAATTGATCCGGAAACACCTTTATGTTAGGCGGACCATCATCCATCAAGATACGTTCCCTTCAAGAAGAGGTAGAAATCTGTTAGCAACACACAAAGAAATGCTGATTAGACATGCAATGTACAGTGAAGCTAGCTATTTGATTACAAAACATTAGAGATTCAATATCCATCTTAATAATACATAGCAAGATTTTCAGTACAAGATCTGATAACTATATATGGAACCTATCCTCCTGATATATTGATCGAAATTTAGTGAAATTAATGCCTAAAAGGTGTGCTAAATTGGGGTAAGAAAGCACAGAAAGAAAGAATACCCTCCAAAATCAAAGATCATAAGAATTGTAATCACTTGGAGAATATCTCAAGCAGGATTCCAATCCATCAATAGGATTACTCTTCCACACCGACCCATAATAAAAGCAAAAAAGCAGACTTTCATTACTTCATCCTACCTAGAAATCGAACCAATCCAAAGATGCAACAAAGTCCCAAGACCTGGATTTGAATCTACCCATCAAAAGTTAATGCATCATACCCTCATAATTCAATCATTAACAAACAAACAAAAAAAATTAAAAAAAGAGGAAGTACTAACATCTCGATTCAGAAAAATCAGCAGCAGAGACAGCATGAATAGTTTCCAAACATACAATAGGTAAAAGAAGATAAAAGTGCCCCTTGAATCAAAACTCCTTAAAAAAAAAGTTGCAAAGCAGATTGTTTCGAGAGCTTACGAAAGCTGATGATCCCTGGAATTCTACCAACCAGACTTAAGCTTGCACACACCGAAAACCCAAAAAAACAAGAGGCCCCCGAAAGAAACAGATAAGGATTTGAGTTTTGACAAAGAAACGACGATAAGATGAAGAAAAAGCTTTTACGCCTGTGGAAACAGAGGTTTTACAGGAGAAGTTAATTGGATTAAGTTTGTCTTCACGGAATGTGGTTTTGACCTCATCTTCCCCACACCCCATCATGAAACGTAACATTACTCTAAGACTGGTCGGTAGAAGTCGTTTGTTTGTCATTCTGTGTGAATTCCGAATGTGGGCGGAACTTTTGAAAGGACCAATATACCCTTCTAGTTTGGATATGAGATTGATAATGATTAAAGATGAATGTCATGTTTGTACCCAAAAAAAAAAGATGAATATCATGTCCTGTTCTAATTATGTTATTTTGTTCCTTATAATATAAATAAGCATTAACTATTGTTCTTTTGGTTCTCCATCTTTCAATGATTATGACTTTTCAAATAATGACACAATAAAAGATTAGATAAATTGGTTTTACTACTTTATAATTTTAATTTGAAGTTAAAATTTTTCTATTGAAAACTCTAAAGAGAAAAAATTAATAATTAAAATGTCTTTTTTCCCTTTGAACAGTTTCCATCATGGGGTGAAGATTTAAACTTCAACTTTAAAGTTATGAGAATGCACTTTATTATAAAACTTAAAGTTATTAGATTATGAGATTCAGTTTAAATGTTTTAACTTTAAAAATATTAAAATATTTTATTTTAATCATATAATAAATAAAATTTACGTGAGACCTATATAACCTCACTCATTATGTGATTTTAATTACACATTTTATTATTTTTTAATATCAAGACGTGTTGTTTTTTCCTGTAACCCCAACCACTAATACGAATGTAAAAAATAAATAAACGATGGAAATGCTGTTTTGCTTAAGAGAAAACAGTTGAGGCCCAAAATGAACCCAGTCTCTAGTCCCACGGGCCTAGCCAATCATGGGCTCATTTGTTGCACAGTTGCAGAGTTACAGTCCAACTAAAACAAAATTTCCTTGCACGTAAAAAGTCAACAAGAAAGCAGGGCAATGGATTTTTCTTCTCAAATGGCTTTTTCTGTCTGGTTCAACTGGATTCTGGAAAAACATGGCTTCTTCCATCAATCTCCCAACCCTCAAGGACCTCTCTTGAGATCCCATATCATGGGGCAAAACCGTCTGTGCAAGTCATCTTTCCTTCTCAATATCCACACAGCTGTTTCTTGTGACTTAATGCCAAGCTCGACCCGTCTTGGATCATGGAGGCAGAAGACTCCGTAATGGAGAAAAGGGTTTACACACCAAGAGATTAACAGAAACATAGAACAAGAATCATCTGCAGTTCCAGCAGAAGAGACAAAAGCTCCAGTGGGATAACAGGATGGCAAAGCTGGGTTTCTTTAAGATTAAGAGGGAGGTAACTGGGATCGATTGATAACAT